CGCTTGATGCTAATCTGCAACCCTGCCGATCCCACCCAGATCTACCACAACTTCAACAAAATCGGCCAAGGTGCTTCAGGTGGTGTGTACACAGCGTATGAGTATCCTAACAACAACTGCGTTGCTATCAAGCAGATGAATCTAGACCTTCAACCCAAGAAGGACCTGATTATTAACGAGATCTTGGTCATGAAAGATAGCAAGCACAAGAACATCGTGAACTTTTTAGAGAGCTTCCTGCATGGGCTGGATCTTTGGGTTGTGATGGAATACATGGAAGGTGGCAGTTTGACAGACGTGGTTACCTTCAACATTATGAGCGAGGGACAGATTGCAGCTGTTTGCCGAGAGGTGAGTACAGAATGGTTATCCTGTATCAAGATGAAACTGGGATGCTAACTATTTCGACTAGACTCTGAGCGGCCTCCAGCATTTGCATTCTAAAGGTGTCATTCATCGAGATATCAAATCTGACAACATCCTACTGGCAATGGATGGTAACATCAAGCTGAGTGAGTTTTGTCCTGTCGTTATGTCGAAATCATGCTAACAATCTCCAGCTGATTTCGGTTTCTGTGCTCAAATCAACGACTCGCAGAACAAGCGGAATACCATGGTTGGTACCCCGTACTGGATGGCTCCCGAAGTTGTCACTCGCAAAGAGTATGGCCGTAAGGTCGACATCTGGAGTTTAGGCATCATGGCCATCGAGATGATCGAGGGCGAGCCGCCGTACCTGACAGAATCCCCGCTGCGAGCACTCTATCTGATTGCTACGAACGGAACGCCCACCATCAAAGATGAGCACAATCTATCCCCGGTCTTCCGCGAATTCCTTCACTTTGCCCTGAAGGTTGACCCGGAGAAGCGGGCGTCGGCGCATGACCTACTGAAGGTACTTACTCGTTCCTCTTTCCCATTGCTCTCGCAGCGATAACTGACACTTCGCCTTTTAGCACCCATTCATGTCTCTCTGCGCACCACTCTCGCATCTCGCCCCCTTGGTCAAGGCTGCTCGTATCAGCCGCGCTCAAGAGAAAGCCCAAAAAGGAGGCGCTTGAAGAGGATGCTGATGAACGACCCCATTTGTTTTTTCCTATGTTTCGGTTTAATTTTGTCGTACTTGATATCTCTTGACGTCTTGCTCAGATACCCCGTCACTCCCGATTTTTCTTCTAGATCCCGACCTACACTACAGTACGTCGCTGGAATTCATTTTATGTACCCAGACTCCTTCTTTATCCACTTCTTCACATCGATTGTCGATGAAAATGACTCCATCCATGAGCACGTTGCCTGTGATATCTGCTTTACCGCTCACTGTCTCTGTATTTGATCTTGGCCTCTATGTAATTTCTTGTAGTTCTATTTGCGCATTCTGTTGTCGTTAGCTCATGATGAATGCAAGCAGCTAATGAGCTTCGAACTCTGTAATTTCCAGGGAGTCTATGCCTAAAGTACTCCGTAGGTTCTCCGTAGTGGAGATATGTTCAGCCACAGCCGATAAACCAATGTGGGAAGAAACGTAGCAGCCTACATTGATATGTCGAAGTTTCTAACTAGCGTGAGCAAAAAGATCAGAAAAGGAGTACAAAAGAAGCAGAAAAGAAGGAGAAATTAGAAGCTTAGCCCCCAGGCAGACACAATATAGAAGAATCCAGGACAATCCAAGCTAATAATAACTTAGAAGTTAGCAGTTCCGCAGGTCTCCATCGTCATATGCTGACTCAGGTGACGAGTTCCGCCCGTACACAATAACTAGGTACCCCCAACACCGTCCCTGATCATCCCCAAGGACCTGATTAACAGATGCCCAGCGCTGCAATACCAGTCGCTTGCTATACCCATCCCTGCCAAAACCCTGTCCCCGTGATATTTACACCTGCATCAACCCGCAGCCTAGCCGCATCCTTTCCTGTCGTCGACTCCCCGCATTCGAAGCTGGACTATCGCTACGAGCTACACAACCGCGGTTTGAAAGCGAGCGTGATCTTAGAAACTCAAGTCTAATTGGAACCTGTCGCCGAACTTCCGCGACGTGAAAACAAGGCAAGCCGCTTGTCAGAAGCTGAGCTGAGCAGTGCTGTCCGACTTCTCCGATAACCCACATACCACCCGGTGATTACCTGCGACGGTTAGAGGAGATACATTCGCGATGTTTCGCGCGCAGCAGAACCACTTCGATGAGGCCGTCGGTAAGTTACGCCGGTTCTCTGCTTCGTCTGATACACCATGCACCCCTGGAGCTGGCTAGCTTGGAGAGAAGCTCCTGGGGGCATGCTGGATCTGCCTGTGTGATGTGTTTTACTGACGATATTTGTCTCGGTATAGCCAAGGCGACGGACGAGAATTTGACCTCCGAGAACTGGGAATATATTCTGGTGCGTTGCATGATGCTATATAGCATTTCCGGCCTCGGGACATAACTGATTCGGTTTTGTGGTTTAGGATGTCTGTGACAAAGTTGGTGCAGAGGAATCAGGGTACGTGGCTAGCTCTGAATCTCAGTCTCGTCTAGGGACTCGTTGCTGATTATTGTGATATAGTGCGAAAGAGGCCGTGGCTGCGATGATCAAAAGGCTGGCTCACCGGAATGCCAACGTCCAGCTCTATACATTGGAGGTTCGTGGCCGGATACTGTGCTCCTTGGAGCGCGAAAACTCCCTATTTTATGGCTATAGCTGACTGGTTTCTAGCTTGCAAATGCGTTGTCGCAAAACTGCGGGCTGAAGATCCATCGCGAGTTGGCTTCGAGAAGCTTCACTGATGCGCTACTTCGCTTGGCGAACGATCGTGTAAGCATATCTGAAACCTTTGTTCTTTCCCAAATGGCAAGTGTTAACCACATATTTGTCTAGAATACGCATCAACAAGTCAAGTCTAAGATTCTGGAGCGCATGGAAGAATGGACTGAGATGTTCTCATCCAACGCGGATTTTGGCATCATGGAACAGGCATACATGAAATTAAAAACCACAAGTAAGTATCTTTCTACGTCCTATACACCGGGCTCGACTGATTATATTCCAGACCCGAATCTGCAGCCACCGTCGAAACCTGGAAAGCGTGAGATCACCGACGTCGATCGTCAGATGGAGGAAGAGGAATTGCAGATGGCTTTGGCCCTCTCGATTAAGGATAAAGCAACACCGGCGGCTGCTTCTGCGGCAGCACCTCGAGCTGAGGCTTCTTCTGCTGCTGTTGCGTCGGCATCAGCTGCCACAAACCAAGGGGAGCCCGCCGAGACTCAACCTGCTCTCTCAGGCACATCGGTAGCGACCGTGTCGCGTGTGAGAGCGCTGTTCGACTTCCAACCGTCTGAGCCAGGAGAGCTTCAATTCCGCAAAGGCGATACCATTGCAGTCCTGGAGTCTGTTTACAAGGATTGGTGGAAGGGTTCTCTGAGAGGCCAGACCGGAATTTTCCCTCTCAACTATGTGGAGAAACTCCCAGACCCCACTGTCGATGAGTTGCAGCGGGAGGCTCAAATGGAAGCAGACGTCTTTGGCCAGATCAAGAGTGTTGAGAAGCTCCTGACTCTACTAAGCACCCGCAATACAGACCTCAATGTCCAAGAAAACGAAGAGATTACTACACTCTATCAAGCTACGCTTGCCATTCGGCCAAAACTCATCGAATTGATTGGAAAATATTCGCAAAAGAAAGGTAACCAGCCAGTCGTTTGTTACACCATGGATTTCCGGCTTACATGTGTTTAGATGAATTCACCCAGCTCAATGAAAAGTTCATCAAAGCTCGTCGCGACTATGAGTCCCTCCTTGAGGCATCGCTAGCCCATCCGGCGCAGCCTCAATATGGAAGACTTGCCCAGCCACAGTACGGTTATCCTAGTGCTGCGCCTGCCGGGTATCCTACTCCTCAGGCAGATCCTCGATATTTCACTCCCCGGCCCCAAGGTCAGTATACTCTAGAATTACGGACGGGCTCCCGGTTCTAACTTGACTTGGCCAGACACCACGCCAGCCCCGGCAAATGCATACGCACCATACCCCACCAGCGAGCAGATGCCGTACCGCCCAGCCTCTCACTCCCCAGATCCTCGCAACCAGTCTCAGGCCGGCGCATCGCAGCAGCCACCCCACGGGGACCCTTATCAACCTGTCAGCCACCGTCCGCAATCTACATACGATCACCCTCAAGAATTGGGGACCTCTGTCTATGATTCACCTGTTGAGCGCATTCCGTACCCCCAAACTGGTCAAGCTCCGCCTGCTGGCCACCAGCAATTCCAGCACCAGCAGCACCAACAGCAAGACTACTCACCCTCGGCCTACTCCGCTGATGAGGCACCTCAGGGCCCGCCTGCCGCCAGCATGCCCCAAATCGCACACCAGTTCCAGCAACAACAGCAACAAGCCCCATATCCCAGCTCTCCCGGTGCCCACCAACCTCCTCCATCGCACCAGCCTCCGCCGGTACCTGGTGCATCGCAGCCACAGTATACCTCCTACAGCCCACCACCTCCCGCCGCAAGCACGGGCGAGTATCAGGCGTACCAGCCACAGGGTGGACCAGGCTCGAATCCCGCTTCCTTTTATCGGTAATTGATAGTTAATCACGACGACCCTCATTCGATTAATAGAATGAGCGCCTTGGCTGTGTTTAATGTTGGGTGTGTAGTGTGGCATTTCAGGCAGTATTCTTCGTTTCGTTATCCCTTTGCTGGAAGTCTTCCTGTCATGTATCTAGCCAACGGTTTAAATATGTCGTCAACAGTGTCTTAGTACATACAGGATTTTGACCTCTTGTGTTTCCGTACGCTAGTGCTGTAATGCGGAAATTGAAAGATGAACAATGTGCATTTATTGTGTGGATTCTAACCTCGTGGGTGTTTCAAGACCGAATGCTCAGTTAATGACGGAGGCTCTACTCCGTAGTTGATCCTCGATTGCAAACGAAGCTGTTTCGCCATTCTTTTGAAAATAGGCGAGAATGACAATACCGAGGGAGGGACAAGACGAAGAAGTGAGAGACAGACGTTAGCTGTCGTTCCCATCCTGGCCATCCTGGTTATCCTTCTGTCCCTGACCCTGCTTCTCAGCCTGTGTGAGAGTAGCATTCCCATAGCTAGCGATTTTCGTCTTCAACCAATAAAAATGGCGTTGGGCCTGTCTCTCCGAGATGCCCACACATTTTGCAACGGCAGCGTAGTCGACCTGCAACAAACTGAGCAAAAGCTAGCGAGAGATTAGAGATGGGGGACTGAATATCCATGACTGACTCGGACACCTGATTGAGTAAGGCAGTGCAGTAGAAATTCGTGGTTTTTGTCAAAACCTGTTGCAGGCCGTCCACGTTTGAGAGCGGACTTTTTGGGTTGAGGTGGATTGCTTGGAGTCATATCTTGGGGTTGAGAGATGAGTGTGCTTGTGCGTAGATGGGGTTCTTGTTTTTGACTGTTGGGAAGTGCTGGGGGTGAACTAGGTACAAATGATAAATAGAGAGATATTCTAGGCTTCGTTTGTCTAAGGTTGATTAATGGTAAGAACAAACTCGTGGGTAAACAGATATCAAAGCAAGTGGGTTCATACTTTGTTTGTATGAGAAAGACATATGATAGCAGGGTTATGCTAAGGAGTGTGCAGCTTAGTACTACATGGGAACAGATTATCAGATCATCAGGTTCAGAGGTAGGTCTAAGAGTATTTATTTCATGGTACTACAGATGGAGAGGGAAGGAAGCAACATGTGAAGTAAACAGGTAGTTATGGCAACGATCTATAGAAACAAAACAAAGATCTCAATGTGATGGCATGTGATCGCACACTCAGGACTCAGGACTGAGTCCAAATACCCATCATGGCATCAAATTCAAAGAAATTCAACTCGAGGACTCGAGAGTCAAGGAGTTGAGGTAAGTATGTTTCAAAAATTCCCAAGCAAGCCGCGAGGCTCACTTGAAGCAGTCAAGTTGGTAGTTTTCAACTAGCAAAAACACGATCTCGGATGTCTCCTCACTGATACGCGTCAAGCCCTTGCACTAGGATGGAGAAGAAAGAAAAAAGAGGACCAAGCCGGGGGGAGGACCAGCTATTTATACTTCCCCGTGGCTTAAGGCAGCAGCAAGCAAAGGTTGGTGACAATCACGGACTATAGATATTCCGAAGCAAAAGTAGACGCCAATAGCCGTGAATAGCCGTGAGAAAGCGCAGATATCGGGGTTAAGGCGGTGTTAAGTTGGCGGAAGAGGTGGTTTGTGGACAGATTTGGAAGGCGGTATTATAGTGCCAACATTAGATGCCATGCTGGGGGGAATAATTTCATCACTGGAGCTGCTGCTGCAGTATATGACAAGTTGCACTGGATTCTAGGCTTGCGATCTTTTATTGAGAGGGTGTATGTCGACTATCCTATGGTGAAGGATTTTCGGATCTTGCTTTGGACATCAACTTATAGCTCAAGCTCTCCTCGCAAGTGACAAAAGCTACAAGCCCCAAGGATTCTCATTTAAGATATCGGTCGAACGTTCATCTAGTGGCCACGAAAGTGGCATGCACCCTATCATCTTGAATCCAGCTTTCGTCTCCAACTTCCCACCTCTAGCTCGGTTTACTCCAGAACAGCCATTCCATATTCAGATCATCCACGGTGATGCCGTGATATCTTTACCAGAAGACACACTAGTTCCCGGGATGATGCTGCTTGGACCATGGCTCAACATCGGAAGCAGCCGTAACTGTCCAATCCAGGGCCTCTACAAGCCCGGCCACGTTCTCACATTACAAGGTCATTTTGAATTCGATGCGTTCGCCACTGCTGAGCTCTGTCATCAATTTGCAAATCAATTTCACTGGCCTGCGGACTTGCTTGCCTCGCATTTAGAAAATATCAGGCGCTCTGTTGTGCCTGGCAATGATGATGATGACGACTCCAAGATAGCGGCGGAGGCAGTCCTCTTATTTTTCGCGGGGGAAGACTGGACTTTGGGCGCAGATATCAATTCATCCTCATCCTGATTGCATTATCCAACCTTGCCCAGGTGGAAGTGTTTGATTATCTTCGATGGCGGGTGCCCTCGGAGAACTAGGCCGATGTCCCCGCAGCCTCGGCTGAACCCCCGATCCATACGTTCACGTCCTCGCACTTGTGACTGAAATGTGGCTATCAAATCAATATCAAAATCAGCTATACGCGGTCTTCTTTGCAAATCATGGCGGGCTCCAGCTCACGATCTACCAACGCGTAAGTGTGCAATGCGTCTGCATTTCCGGCTGCGGGGGATCATGTATGATAACAACCGGACAGATGCGAAACATGCCGAAAACGCAAAGTAAAATGTTCCGGTGATAAACCTTGTCGTGCTTGTATCAAACACAACTGGGAATGCACTTTCGGTCATTCCGGCCGCAGACGGTTTTCTGAAGCGTACGTTCATGTGCGTCGTAGGCTCTGGCCAGTCTTGCTGATTGTCAAATAGCCAAGTGAAACATCTCTTGGAAAAAGTACGAACCTATGAAGAGCAGCTGAGCTCAAACTGTAAGGGGTCCGGTCTCTTCATTGCATTCTTCAGTAGTACCAGATGAGACCACAGGCCGTCAATCTGCGCAACGAAGTCCTTCCAGTCAGAGGCAAACTGAGCTATTATATACCGATAACGATCCTTCTATAAGTCCGGGTAACTTGACATCGTTTTCTTCTTCCTGGTCTGCTTGCGAATATGAACTGACTCTACGCGAAGCAACGGACCTGACCTCCGGGCCTGCATTCGAGTCTCAAGTTAGATCGCTTCTTGACAGGTCGCATTCTAGTGACCGCAGCTTTCATGGATCTACTTCAAATTTTCAATATCGGGCTGATCGATTACCTCAGTGGACGTCGGTCAAAGAGCTCGTTGACAATGTTGCTGGAGTAACTTTCCCGTCTTTGGAGGAATCACAGCACTTGCTTGATCAATTCCTTTTCTATCTTGGCGTGAGCCAGCATTTCTTTGACCCACGATCTTTCTCGGACGATCTTATGTTGCTATTTCAGAGCCCGGAGACAAGACAACAGCAGATCAACTCTCCTTGGTTTACAGAATATCTTTTGGTCATGGCCATGGCAAAGCTCATGGATGTAAAACATCCCACATCACAGACACCTGGAACGGACTTGTTCGCTGAAGCCTTGAAGCGTCTTCCTCCGTTGCATCATATGGGCGGGGAAGGTGTTGTCGCCGTCGAGATACTGACTCTGATTGCTACATATCTACAGTGGTGTGACCGTAAACACGATGCATATCTCTATGTAAGTTGTGTAAGATCCACAATACTCTTGCACGGTATCATTGACATGTGGTAGATTGGACTCGCACTGCGGCTTGCCATTGCTCTTGGGTGCAATCTGCGGGAAGTCGACCAACGCTGCCTCCCTTCTCAAAGTGCCCACAGATTAAGACTCTGGTGGACAGTGTACATGCTCGACAGGTAGGCCCTTTAGCAACTTTCGGGGCTTGGCACTCAACTTACACTTCTAGGCGCCTCTCTTCAGGTCTCGGGCTGGCTGCAGGGGCCGATGAACGACAGCTACGCACTGAACTCCCGCGGAATGCGATGGGGTTCCAGTCACCAGTTGCCCTTGCCATCAATGTCCGTATTGCGCGTGTCACTGATGACATAATGTCAAGTAAGATATATACCGTTGTGTTATTAACGTCATGCTCATACATCTACAACAGCTCTGTATGGCAATAAGTCAATCACCCAACTGGAATTGGTCCAAAAGATCCAGGGAATTCTCCAAGAACTGCATGACACAGGCCGATCATTCCCTAAATCTTTGGTGTTGGACTTCAATCGACCTTTACAATCGGTAACTCGCACAGGTGCATCATTATACCTAATGCTGTTTCAGGTGGGACTATCACCAACAGAAAATATTATTGGTATTGTTCCTGATTCGTTATTAGGCCATCATCCTATGCACACGGCCAATATTACTTCAAAGAGCTCGGTTTGAAGCTCAGAGCCAACAGCAGTCGCGATCTACTGAACCGGCGCCGAGTATGCTGCTGCGTCTCTGTGATACATGTGACGAGGCAGCCACCAGAAGTCTCGCAATACTTGAATCACTTCGTCTCCAGCAAACCATCCGTGAGTCCTACCAGTGCTCCAACTAACGGACCCTACACCCCCAGTTTATGTTTCGCATGTTTAGTTATTCAAATCAAGAGCTGACATAAACATAAGCCCGGTATGGCTTTTTTGATCTGGACGCAACATTCTCCGCTGCATTTGTTCTGGTCATGGTGGGCTTCTTGGACAAATCACAGAGTCAACCACCGCCAGCGCTTGATCAAGCATCAAAAGTACTTCGATTTCTATCAAAGTCTGGCAATCTGGCTGCCGAGCGACGCCTGCAGGATATTGCACAATCTTATTCGCACGTTTGGCCGAATCATGTTTTCGATGCAAATACCTCGCACAGCGATGCAGCTACCCAAGACACGACCCAGACATTTACAATAAGTCCAGGCTCAAGACAAGATGCCTTGTTGGCTTCCTTAGATCCTCCACCATATATGACTGTAGCCTCAAGTGGCCGGGGTGACCATCAAGATGAAATCAGGTTACTCGAGCCATGGTCTAACATGGATGTCCCAGACGCAATGTTTGATATGCAGGGAGACTGGAATCTAGATCTTTCCGGAGAAGCAGAAGGGATTTATTCTAGTTTCCATAATCCGACATTACCACTGACCGGGGTTGACTACATCGACTGGTTGGAGATTGAGAAAGTATTCAACGGTCCATAGAGCGGATAGAGAAGACTTTATCTCGTGATAAATTCCCTTCGTAACATCCTAATTGATAAATTCCCTTCGTAACATTCTAATTCAAGAAGAAATCCGCATGTTTTATATATATTGAATGTGGTTCTTTGTTAGTGATCTTGGTTGGGCCTGTCGTTCTCCAGCATTCGATACATATAACCCGCTTCTTTTCCAATGAGAGCTAACTTATGGCTCTATTCCCATGCTTCTGTTGTTAGAAGGTAAAAAAAGCTACTTCCTCGCATGTAATCATTGCTCTAGCTGATCTTCACTCTCGTGTTGACTTGTAATCTTGACTACTATCACGTGATCATACCAATCTCACCGTTCCTGTCCCTCGCCGGCAACATGCACAGCAGTTGGAGTCCGATTGTTCCTTATTTCGTCGTGTCAGGCATTTCGAGCCGATCCTCAATTGTCAAGTGTAATGCTCTTTTAACTCTAAACCTCTCACTGTGTCAAAACCCCACCGCCGAATCGTCTGATAGCTTCCCCGCAATCGCGTCCCTCGCGCCGAACGATGCCCACACTCGCTGTGTTCCCACGTGGGTAAAAACAGCAGTTTACACCAGGCCCATCAGACCGGCATACCGAGAGTAACAAGACAGAACGCACAATATAATTACGGTACTGGGGTTGGACCGCAGAGGCAACCGCAAGCATGGAGGCCGACTGGGATGAGCTGTCGCGTATTCCAATGCCGCCGCCGAGTCCCCATGCCATGCCCACTGTGGCAACGGCGACGGCATTTGACGATATGATGGAACTTTTATGGACAGGCAACGAATATGTAAGTGTTGATGCCGGGCCGATTTCCGAGGCGGGATGCTGATGATTGTGTTCGATTCGCCAGGGCAGGGTCTCTTCCTTTTATGGACCAGAATTGCAACGTTATACCTCTGTTCGAGCCCATCCAGTTTCTGAAGGTGCAGTACAGCAGATAATATTTCACGAACGAGGTGTGATTTCGCTGTCCTCAAAGAGTGTGCACATGATTACTCGACGGGGCTTGACACAGTGGCACCTTACCCACGATGAGATGGTCGACCTCCGCTGTATGAGTTTCACCGCCCAGACCAATCGAATCCTTGTTGCAGGTTCTCAGCGCGTGATGTTCACGGTAGACATTGACAAGGGCACAATTGTCGAGAAGCTGCCCACCGAGCACGGCTACACAATTATGAAAAAGAGTCGGTATCTTTGTGCTGCAACAGATACCGGATCAGTCAATGCCCTCAGTCTCTCAGACTTCAGCGTTGTCAAGTCATGGAAAGCTCATGGAACAGGTGTTAATGATATGGATGCGCGGAATGACTTGCTGGTCACCTGTGGCTTCTCAGTTCGCCATCTCGGATCCCCAATCGTGGATCCCCTGGCCAACGTTTATGACTTGAAAACCTTGACACCGCTGCCTCCCATTCCGTTCCATGCTGGAGCAGCATACGTGCGCATGCATCCCAAACTTCACACCACGAGCTTCGTGGCTTCCCAAACAGGTCAACTCCAAGTGATAGATCTCATGAATCCCAATTCGGTCAACCTGAGACAAGCCAATGTGTCACTTGTGCTCGGTATTGACCTGTCACCATCAGGAGAAGCATTGGCTATTAACGATGCCGAATGCTCCATTCACCTATGGGGCTCACCCACTAAGGTTCATTTCAATGAATTGAGCAAGGAGACGGAATTTGCCGAGGTTCCCACCCGACCTCCTCAAGTAGAGTGGTCTTCCGAATCTCCGTTGAACATAGTTGGGATGCCTTATTACCACGAACGTCTCTTTTCGGCGTGGCCAAGCCATTTGCTTTTTGAGGTTGGCAGTCCGGCGGCTCCGCTGGATCAGTCCATGTTGCCATATTTACGCCCCGCAGAGATGGGACATCATGCTCCAAACCCGAGAAAGACTCGTCGATACCAAATAGAAAACACTCGTGCATTGACCATGGCAGAGCCAGCTCTTATTGCCCCAAAGTTTCTGAGTGAAAAGGCTCGAGATTATAGCAAATCAGACGGCTTGGTTGGCGATACTGCAGAGGCATTGGCGGGGGCAAAGATCAACGGAGAGAGCGATGACGATCCATTACTCAAATACAGCAACGTAGAGATCAAATACAGCCGATTCGGTGTCGATGACTTTGATTTCAGGTACGTCCTTCCCTTCTTCATTTGCTGCCCTTCGCTCACGTTCGCTACAGGTTCTACAACAAAACCTCATTCTCCGGACTTGAGACTCACATCGCCAACTCTTTTACTAATTCTCTTCTCCAGCTTTTCAAATTCATCCCACTTTTCCGAAATCTCGCCCTGAATCATGCAGCTGGATCGTGCATTTTTGAACATTGTCTCTTGTGTGAACTGGGCTATTTGTTCGACATGCTTGAGAAGGCAAACGGGCAGAATTGTCAGGCCACCAACCTTCTGAAGACATTCAGCAGTTTCCGAGAAGCCTCAAATCTGGGCCTCTTGGAAGAGAACCTCACCAACAAATCCCTCTCAACTGCGATCCAAGCAGTCAATCGCTTTTTCTTGACTCAAATAGCTCAAGACTTCCGGATGATTCAGCCTAATTCTGAAGAGCTCGATCAGCGCTTAGCCACCATTGCGTCCGAGTCTATTCGGTGCATGTTCTGCCAGAACGAAATTGTGCGCCCTGGAAATTCACTCGCCAATGAACTGATTTACCCGAATATCGACATGAAACACGCACGACGGAATCCGCTTTTCCGCTTCTCCAATATCCTACGTGCAAGTATCGAGCGAGAGACACAAAACCGAGGATGGTGCAATTATTGTCGTCGCTACCAGCAAGTGACCATTCGCAAGACCATCCACCGTATGCCTTTGATTCTCGTCCTCAATGCCGCTCTGACCAACCCTCTCTGCCGTCGGCTTTGGGCAATCCCAGGGTGGTTGCCCGACGCCGTTGGAATTCTCGTTGATGCTAGTGGACAGGTGATGTGCTTTGAGGGTGATGATCTTCGCCTCCGAATCCAAAATCAAACACCCGGGCTCGCGGTATATGATCTGATTGGCTTAGTTGCAGAAATTGACATCCCGGAACATCAAAAGGCCCATTTGGTGTCTTTCGTCAATGTTTCTATTTCGGGTGCTGAGTCTGAAGAACAAGGCAAATGGCACCTGTTCAATGACTTTTTAGTCACGGAGGTCGAGAGAGATGAAGCGCTCCGATTTACGCAGCCTTGGAAACAACCTTGCGTGCTGGCTTACCAAGTGAGAGACCCACGCCATGTCGTAGATGACTCTTGGAAGAACATTCTCGACAAAACCCTGCTATTCCGCGAGTGGTCTTTGAAGTAAGTTTTTTTCACATCATTAAGTTTGAGAATAGAAATACTAACAGTCGTCTTGTTCTAGTGGCGGCCGTCCGGTTGAGTCGTGTCAAACTCTCACTGAGGACGAAATGCCAAAGCCCGGGACACCTGTCGCATTGGATACCGAGTTTGTTGATCTAGAAAAAGCAGAGATTGACGTCAAAGCAGACGGATCACAGGAAATGGTACGCCCCAACAAGAGCGGGCTGGCCCGTGTTTCCGTCTTACGCGGTGTGGGTGTTCATGAAGGAGTCCCCTTCATTGATGACTATATTACCATCCGTGAGCCAATTGTGGACTATGTTACCCAATATTCCGGCATCAAGCCTGGTGACTTGGATCCGCGAGCCAGTGAACACAATCTTGTCCCACTCAAGGTTGCTTACAAGAAGCTTTGGCTGCTTCTCAACCTCGGCTGTATATTTGTTGGTCACGGTCTAGCTTCTGATTTCCGCAAAATCAACATTCAAGTGCCCAAGGCACAAACCGTGGACACACAGTACCTCTTCTTCCACCCCGGGAAGAATCGGCGTCTCAGTCTCAGGTACCTGGCCTGGGCTGTCTTCAAGGAGCACATACAAGAGGAACCCTCACCCGAAACCGTACAAGGTCATGATTCGATCGAGGATGCTCGCATGGCTTTACGTCTGTGGAAAAAATTCCAGGAATACGAGGATGCAGGTATTGTCTCGCAAATGCTTGAAGAGATCTTCCGCGAAGGCTCGAAGCTAGGATTCCGCCCACCTCCTAAGAATGGAGGCACTGTCGCCGTTCTCTCTCGACCTGGCACCGCTGTCACCATGCAGAATGACAGCGGTCGCAACACTCCTAGCACCCCTGACACACGGTCCGTGGTGCCAGTCACCACAACATCAGCCGTTCCCATCACTGGATCACCCAGTGCCCCTACCACCCCTCGCCAGGCTTTCCGGCGATCCATTGCCTTGACCCCGAGTAATGGGAGCTTTTCTGGGCCTGGTACGGGTGACTTTTTTGGCAGTCCACTTCGATAGATGAATATTATTACTTTTTTTTCACTCTCTTTTGACTCTTTCGGCATCCTGCGTGCCGCGAAAGTTAGATAACTATGACAAACTCAGCGTATGGATACGTAGGTAACTATAGTGTAGCTCTTTTAGACTACAAGGATATAAGAGACTTACTATACACACACCTTCAAATTACTAGCTACACACCCGCCCTCAGCCATAGAGTAAAGGTCTGTCACATGATACCGCCGCTATGCTTTAGTTTTTATGAAGCTATTCGGATAAAAGATGACACTATTGATCTTACAGATATTGCATTTCTAAAGAAAAGTACCGAATGAAAGGGTGTATAAAAAGCTGGACAGTTGGACATGTATTGTACTTAAAGATTCTAGCCCAAGGATAGACTAAGCTGGACCTGAAGCATTCGACATTAATGTTACAATGTATATGTCAAAGCTATGTTGCCTTCAGATTAGAAATGAAAGCCAATTGAAGGCATAGATCCATGGATGATGACATGACGTAACCCATGTTCTGCCGGCAGTTTGATTTCCTACCGAGTCGGGAGTTGAAAAACAACGGGTGGTATGCCCGTATAAGAAGGCGGTACAGTAGTGCTTAAACCCAAAGACCGTGCGGAAGGCGGTCAACTCAACTC